CTCAAATATGGCAAGAATAACTTGAACGTTGTTCTTGTACTTGCTATCTATAAAGTCTTATTGTACCTGCATAGTCTTTGTAATAATATCAAGCAACGACCTAATGAGAATTCTATAAGCAATCAAGTCTATCCCATTTATAGGTACACAATTTTGCTTGTACTCAACTCAACATATTTTTCGTTCAAGTAATGACCTCGACTCAAATACAATACTACACTAGTGTGAGATTCATCCTTGCAACTTACCTTGTCAACCTAACATGCCTCGATGTCTAAACATTCATGTTGGTGAGTACCTCTTTCAAATTATTGCTTGTTGTTGAACTTCAATTTTTCATTTGTTCAATGTTTATGTAACAAGACATTTCTATATGGTGATCAACATCAACATATGGTAACCGTAGTTTTAGTAATTACAAGATCGTTAGATTATTGAGGAAGTACCTGAGTTTGATTGTACCAAAAATAAATGTTGAAGGATGCTCCATCTCTAACAAATCTCCCAAAATCTCTCCCATCCATTGCTCCATCTTCTTTTTAACCCCCATTCATCCCCTCCATTTTCCTCACACCGCAATTGCTTCCTTCTTCCTCCTCACCACACTACACTACACTACACACACCCCTTCCACTTTTCCACATCCAGAGGAAGCAGGTTTTCCCCCACCTCCTTCCTCTTCCGCCATGGCCTTCTTTCACTCTCCCGCTCTTCTTCTTCTACTTTTTCTATCTCTTCCATTCTCAGTTCAATCTCAGCTTTCTCTCGATTATTACCAGAAAACTTGCCCCGATTTTGCACAGATCGTTCATGACACTGTTGCTCGCAAGCACGCTACTAGCCCTGTCACCGCCGCTGCATCTATGCGCCTTTTGTTCAGCGATTGTTTGGTTGGAGGCTGCGATGGCTCTGTTCTTGTTTCATCCAATGTCTTCAACCACGCCGAGCGCGATGCTGAAATCAACCGCAATCTTCCTGGTGACGCCTTTGACGTCGTCACTCGAGCGAAGATCACCTTAGAGCTCTCCTGCCCTGGGATTGTCTCTTGCTCCGACGTGTTAGCGCAAGCGACTAGAGATCTCATCGCGGCTACAGGCGGACCATCGTACAAAGTTGAATTAGGGCGAAAAGATAGCCTCGTCTCGAAAGTTTCAGACGTGGAAGGCAACATTCCGAAACCGAATCAATCAATCGACGAGTTGATCAAGCTATACACAGCGAAAGGCTTCACGATTCAAGAAATGGTAGCGCTATATGGCGGACGCACGATCGGATTCTCAAATTGCAAGGAATTCAGCGACCGGCTCTTCAATTTCAGCAAAAACACACCAACAGATCCTGAGATTAATTCGAAATACGCGGAGGCGTTGAAGAAGTCCTGCGCCGATTACGAGAAGAATCCAGCGAGTTCGGCGTACAGCGACCCTGTAACGCCAGGGAAGTTCGACAACGTATACTACCAGAATCTGCTGAGAGGAATGGGACTGTTGGCGTCGGATCAGGCGCTGGTGAAGGATCCGAGAACAAGGAAATTCGTGGAGATGTATGCAGGAAACCAGGCATTATTCTTCAAGGATTTTGGAGAGGCGATGGAGAAGATGAGCGTTCGCGAGGTGAAAACTGGCGGGAAAGGAGAAGTGAGGACAAGATGCGATGCGTTTAATTCAATCAACCATTAGCCCATTTTGTCTTTTCCTAAATAAGTCATTCTTTAAGGGGATTTTTTTCGTTTTTTTTTTCTTTGTAAGATTTATTTGGAAAAACATTGTAGAGAGTTTATTGATGGAAGAGAGTGAGAGGAAGAGGCGGAGGAACATCTTTTTGTAATTGTGGTTATTTCATGTTTTAATCAACTCAATTTTCTTATTTTCTCTTTTATTTTTTAATATATATATATATATATATATATATTGGTAAAATAGTTAGAAATGGTATTGGAGTGGACATCGTATGGTGTGCTAGAGTTGCTAGTAGTGAACTTAAGTTGCTACAAATGGTATAAAGTTTGCATTGAGTCATATTAGGAGGCTTGGTTTTGTATTAATGACCACAGATATACGTTAAAAGGTTTAGCTTACTATATATAGCACTAAGGTTTAGCTTACTATATATATATAGTGTTACTAGATATAACCATCTATTATATATAACTATAACTATATATTATATATGACTACGGTATATAACTATCTACTGTACATTTAGATTGAAATTATATATTTTTAAATATATAGTTTCAATCTACTAGATCATCATTTCCAAAAAAGTTGATAGACTGGGTGGATATGTAAAAACTATTCTGAATGAAGAAGGCTGAGAGTGTGTAGCGAAGGATATTGGGATAGGTCAAGTTCCAGTGGGGATCGACTCTTATTTTGTTCGATCAAATCAAACCTGCTACCGATCAAACTTATTATTATCAAAATGTTCGGTATAGCAGCTCCCGTTCGGTTGCGCTGCGCGTTCCGAACACGTGTTAGCTGTAGGAAGTATGACTAAGATTACAATCTACAAGATCAAAACTAAGATTAATACAATAACTATACCTACATTAATTCACACCGGTTAAGATTTAATTAGAAATTGATTATCTATTTTTTTTTGATCTAAAGTCATGAAAAACATTTAAATTTTTAAAAACATTTAAATATTTTAGCAGGGTAGATTTTTTTTAGAATTTTTTTTATTTTACTTAATTTATAATTATTTGGTACAATTTTAAATAAAAAATATTAAAAATTCACAAAAACATAAATCAATTTATAACCCTTAACAAAAATAAATAATCAACAAACAAAAATGTTAACATTTTAACCTTGTTATAAAACTTTATGTTCTTAAATGGAACATTCTAACATTGTAATAAAACTATTTTAGTTTTTAAATGAAAAATAAAAAGAATTACATACAAATATAGAAATTCTCAATTTTAAAAATTGATTTCTTTAAAATTACTCAAAAATATATATATTAACATTATAACATTCCACGTTTCTTCAAAATAACGTATATGTATAAATCTTATTGACATAACCAAATTTACGGGTAATTGTTTGTTAGTTTATTTATATTATATTCGATTAATTTGTTATATTATAAAAAATATATTTAAAAGGAGTATAAAGAAGCGAATAACTGGTTATTTTATTTATAATATAAACTATGTTAAAAAAAAAAAATCTAAATATAATAAGAAAATAGACGTGGCTTGGAGTAGGTTGAGTAAGACTTTATCACAACTATGGAAAAACCATGAATACACTAAACTATTTTATAAATTTTGTTTGGTTCGATTCAATTCGAGAGTTTTGTCCCACAAACCCGAAACTAAACCTAGTCAATTCAAGTATAGAAAAATTAACTCAATATAATCTCTATAATTTGAGTTGAGTCGGTTCGGGTAGTTAAATATACACTTCTATATATGAGATTACAAATGGTATAGAGTCGACGTTTGGCTGGGTGTTAGAACTACTAGTGGTGGGCTTGAATTATTACAAATAGTATAGAGTCGACAGTGGGTGATGTGCTAGAGCTACTAATAGCAAACTTGAATTGTTATAAATGATGTAGAGTTGATACGGAACAGTGTACCAATGAAAACGCTAGCCCCAAAGAATAAATTGTTAGATCTTAGAGAGGAACAAAGTATAGAAAATAGATATATGCTTCAAAAATTGCACGATGAATTTCATAGCATATAAGAGTATTTTTAGTAAGTGCAAGATGTTAGATTATTGAGAGAGTACCTGAGTTGAGTGAACTGAATATTTCTCCGATCTTAGATGCGTAACTTTAGCATTCTTGCGTCACCAAAAATAGCATTAAATCTTTTAACAATGCTCCATCTCTAACTAATCTCCCAAAATCTCTCCCATCCACTGCTCCATCTTCTTTTTAACCCCCATTCATCCCCTCCATTGTCCTCACACTGCAATTGCTTCCTTCTTCCTCCTCAACACACTACACACACCCCTTCCACTTTCCCACATCCAGAGGAAGCAGGTTTTCCCCCGCCTCCTTCCTCTACCGCCATGGCCTTCCTTCACTCTCCCGCTCTTCTTCTTCTACTTTTCCTATCTCTTCCATTCTCAGTTCAATCTCAGCTTTCTCTCGATTATTACCACAAGACTTGCCCTGATTTTGCACAAATCGTTCATGACACTGTTGCTCGCAAGCACGCTACTAGCCCTATCACCGCCGCTGCATCTATGCGCCTTTTGTTCAGCGATTGTTTGGTTGGAGGCTGCGATGGCTCTGTTCTTGTTTCATCCAATGTCTTCAACCACGCCGAGCGCGATGCTGAAATCAACCGCGATCTTCCTGGTGATGCCTTTGACGTCGTCACTCGAGCGAAGATCACCTTAGAGCTCTCCTGTCCTGGGATTGTCTCTTGCTCCGACGTGTTAGCGCAAGCGACTAGAGATCTCATCGCGGCCGCAGGCGGACCGTCGTACAAAGTTGAATTAGGGCGAGAAGATAGCCTCGTCTCGAAAGTTTCAGACGTGGAAGGCAACATTCCGAAACCGAATCAATCAATCGACGAGTTGATCAAGCTATACACAGCGAAAGGCTTCACGATTCAAGAAATGGTAGCGCTATATGGCGGACGCACGATCGGATTCTCAAATTGCAAGGAATTCAGCGACCGGCTCTTCAATTTCAGCAAAAACACACCAACAGATCCGGAGATTAATTCGAAATACGCCGAGGCATTGAAGAAGTCCTGCGCCGATTACGAGAAGAATCCAGCAAGTTCGGCGTACAGCGACCCTGTAACACCAGGGAAGTTCGACAACGTATACTACCAGAATCTGCTGAGAGGAATGGGACTGTTGGCGTCCGATCACGCGCTGGTGAAGGATCCGAGGACAAAGAAATTCGTGGAGATGTATGCAGGAAACCAGGAATTATTCTTCAAGGATTTCGGACACGCGATGGAGAAGATGAGCGTTCGCGAGGTGAAAACTGGCGGGAAAGGAGAAGTGAGGATAAGATGCGATGCGTTCAATTCAATCAAACATTAGGCCATTTTTTTTTTCAAGATTGATTTGGGGAGTTTATTGATGGAAGAGAGTGAGAGGAAGAGGAAGCCTGTAATTGTGGTTATTTCCTGTTTTAATGAACTGAATTTTCTTCTTTTCTAATTCCTTTATTTATTTTTTTAAATCTCTCTGATGGTAATGGTGCGCCAAGCTGCTAGCCGTGAACTTGAATTGTTACTAGTGTTCTAGAGTTAGACACGATAGTGTTCTAGAGTCAGACACTCTAGCCTACGTGTGAACCGTTGCAAATGGTATATTGAACTGGTGTGGGCTCTCCATTGGGCTTTGAGTGGTTTGGGCTCATTCTATTGAACTGGTGTGGCCATGTCTCATGATGATCTATTGGAAATCAAATTATCCACTTAAAATTAATTTTAAATTAATGACTATTTGCAATATTACTATATTTTTATTTTCATTTATTTTAATAGATTTGGATAAAAATTATGTAAATTTTTTATTTTTATATAAACTAATAAATTTTAGAAGATTTATTTGATAGTTGATATTGTGCATTGCCCAAATTAAAATTATAAATTTATTTAATTAATGAATTTAGTAAAAAATTATATAAAATAAAGTTTTACTAATCAGTTAAATTTCAAAATTTTTATTTACGAAAAATAAAATAATATAAATCATTTATTTTCTTAGTGTGCGGTAAGGATGATTGCAAGCACTTATAGGTGAGTTGTCTCGTTCTTACCTTTTTAATATTAAAATAATGATATATAAAAAAAACAAATCATAACACTTTTTAGTTTTATAAAAAAAATTATAAAATTTCAATAATACTTTTTAATTTTAAAATATTTTTAAAATACTGATGAAAAATTAAAAAGTATTTTATTATTAACAAATTTTAATGGAAAACGTTAAACTTATATTTCTTAATTACTCTTAAACTTAAAAATAAAAATAAAATGTATTAAACTTAGAAGAATAATTTGAGAATAAAAATATTTTTTAAATATATTTTTAAAGATTATTGAAAGTTAAAGTATTTTAAAGATATATATTTTTTAATTTATAGAAATTTAGATTTATAAAAATACAAATAATAAATAATAAATAATTAAAAGGAAAAAGAGATAGAATGATGGAATTGTGTGTGAGGAACATTATAATTCCAATCCAAAAAGCGGAGAATTGCTTGTGCCGTTTCTAGAGGACAAGAATAATTTATTTATTTTCTTCAACTTTCTCTCTCCTATTTTTTTTTATTTAAATATTACTCAAAATTATTAAATATTAATTATTGTGTTTATCAATTTATAAAATGTTAAATAATTATCTTACCCATTTAAATTTGCTTATGTTTGTTAGTGCTTCAAATCGACACAAATCTAGAGCGTAGGACCAAACTTGTAATTTAATCTTAAATATAACCATTTCTACTAATTTTATCTTAAATAGAAGTTGGATTTTAATAAATAACTTATTTGATTCATTAATGAAAACTACTTGAATGACATGGTAAAGATAGTCTACTTTTGATCGAGCACAAGACGTGGATGAAGAAAAATGGTGTATCTAGAGAAGGAATGTTTGGGTGGTTCGTAATTGTGATATGCTTAGTCAAGTTCAACTAGAAACACATGCAAAATAATGGTCGTTACTCTTTTTAATGTCACAATCTATGAGACAAAATCATTTAATTAGACTAATTCAAAGTCAAAATGGTTTTGAAATTGTATTATTGGACAAAACAATGAACAGAATTAAAAATTTAAAAAAATCAGAATCTTTATATAAACAGCTAATCAAATTGACCGGTGAGAAGAAAACGAGGAAGGGAACTAAAAATCAAAGTGTGATTTATTTGGCAGGGAGAGTGGAGAATGGACTGTTTCTAAAACCACGGAAAATGGAAATACAAAATAAATAAATAAATAAAGGAAAATGGCTAGCCTTCAGCGTTGACCGGTCAACCAAATAAGCAGACCCACACAAACAAACCAAACTGCAACCCACAGCTGGTAGTAGACGCCCTAAAGCAACTCACTCGCTCCTCTTCCTCACGCTACATTTCTCCCTCTATCTTTTTCGTCGCTCAAATCTCTGTACAATTGGATTCCGATTAGGTTCTTGCAGGATTTGGGGTTTCAGCACTGAGGCGGTGGCCCTGGGTTTTGGTTTCTGTTTTTTGTTTTCGCATGTATGGGTGGCAATGGCAAGTTCCGGTGGAAATCCATCTTCTCCCATCGTCGTTCTTCTTCTAGTTTTAGGGTCGAATCCAAGGAGCCTCCTAACGAGTTCATTTGCCCAGTTTCCGGATCCTTAATGGCCGACCCGGTTGTTGTCTCTTCCGGCCAGACCTTTGAGCGTGTTTCTACGCAGGTTTGCAGGAGTTTGGGGTTCTCCCCTGTGTTAGAGGATGGCTCGACCCCAGATTTCTCCACTGTGATTCCGAATTTGGCTATGAAGAAGACGATTCTCCATTGGTGTGAGGAGTCCGGTGTCAGGAATTCTCAGGCGCCTGATTACGACTCCGTGGAGAAGATTGTTAGAGCATTGATGGAGGAGAAGGACAAGGAGAAGCCGCCTCAGGTCGGAATTAGGGATTTGTTAGCGGGGGTATCGGATTTGCCGCCGGTGAATTTTTCGCACGCCGTGACGGAGTTAGGCCACCGTCCAGAACGTTACTACACGAGCTCCTCGGAGGAATCGGTCATCGTCGGAGGAAGTCCGGGAACTCCGCTGCCGTTCACGACTCGACCTGGATGTTATTCCTCTTCGTCTTCTTCCTGTGAAGTTGTGGAAAACGAAGCGCTCATCCAAACCCTAGGCCCTAATTCATCGATATCCCAAGACGAGAAGGAATTGCTATCGAAGCTCACGAGTCCCGATGTGTTTAAGCAAGAAGAAGGCGTTATTTCGCTTAGAAAAATCACGAAAGAAAATGAGAAAATTAGGGTTTCGCTTTGTACGCCTCGGATTCTCTTATCTCTCCGCCCTTTGATTACGTCGAGATACTCCGCCGTACAAATCAACGCCCTCGCCTCTCTGGTAAATCTCTCCCTCGAAAAGCTAAACAAGCAAAAGATCGCGCGGTCTGGTCTGGTTCCGAACTTAATCGACGCGCTTAAAGGAGGACATGCCGAAGCGCAAGAACACGCCGCCGGCGCACTCTTCAGCCTAGCCTTGGAGGACGAAAATCGGATGACAATCGGAGTTCTAGGCGCACTGCCGCCACTCCTTTACGCACTCCGATCGAATAGCGAGATAACTCGAAAGGATTCCGCTCTGTGTCTGTACAACCTAACAATGATACAGAGCAACCGAGTGAAGCTCATCAAACTCGGCGCCGTAACGACTCTACTCTCCATGGTGAAATCAGGTAGCTCAATGAATTGGCTGCTGCTGATCCTCTGCAATATCGCCGTGTGCCAGGAGGGAAGATCGGCAATGCTAGACGCCAACGCCGTCGGGCTCTTGGTCGGAATGCTGAGGGAGAAAGAATTATACTCGAAATCAACTCGCGAGAATTGCGTTGCGGCATTGTACGCACTCAGCTATGGAAGTATGAGGTTCAAAGGACTGGCGAAGGAAGCCGGAGCAATGGAGGTTTTGAGGGAGATTGCTGAAAGAGGAAGTGATAGAGCGAGAGAGAAGGCGAAGAAGATATTGGAGAGGATGAAGATGAGAGGGACATTCAATGAAGACGATGACGAAGAAGAAGAAGAAGAAGAAGACGCCAATGGCGGTGAGTCGAGTTTCGAAAGAGGCGGACTCAGGTTGAGTCGGTACCGAAACGGCGGTGGAAGAAGTCCCAGATCGGCTAATACGACGCCGTTTTGATTCCTTCTTCTTCCTATTCGATTATTGGGTCTGTCCTTGTTTGTAAACAATGTAATTAATGGTCTTTTTTTCTTCCTCTTAAAAAAAGGTGATATTTCAATATTTATGGTAGATGGGTAATTACAATGGAATTTTAATTATTATTATTATTATTATTAAGGCAACTCATGAAGGATATAAAAGTAATTTTATAAATGAACTTATATTACTGGATTTATTTAAATAATCCACTTTGGACTGGCTAGCTTTTTTTAGATGGAGGCATATCTTAATTATTTGTCGTTTCCACTTGCCTTTTGGTATGGGCTTAGAATTTGGTATGCTTTTAATAATCAACTTTTTTTTAGTGGAATTATCTATCTCCATGCTTTTAACCAGAGATATCCACAAATCGGGAAGAGAGAGTTTTTTCTTACCAGATTATTTTCGAAAAAATTTATAGAGATTCAATTTTCCTTCCTGTTTACATTTTCATTTTAACTAGAAATTTCCTTCCTGTTTTTTCTTACCAGATTATCTTAATTATTTGTCGTTTTGATTTTCTTAGGCATCGAGCTTGCTGACAGGGAATAATAGGCCCCACATCCTTGTATATATATATATATCCGTTCGTCAGTTTGAGTTTCGCTTTCGCGCGCTCTTCCACTCTCGTCCACCCTCCGCCGGCCGTTGACGTTGTCTGCGCCATTTACAAGATTCCTCGACGTCATCCACCACCATGTCCATCTCCCTTATAAAATTTCATCTTCGCTTTCTTTTTCTACTACTGCTTTCTGTTTTCCTGTTCTTATGGCGCCCCCTTTTGCTGCCGTTTGTCTCATCTTTCTTTCCATATTCACCACCTTCTCCACTTCCTTTTCCTCCACCATTGGATTCGTATACATTTCGCGGCTTCTTGATATCCAGGATCGCGAGAGGGCGCCTTCGTCTGTCCAAGTTGCTGCGGCTCGTGGAGTTCTTCGTCGCCTTCTTCCTTCGCACCTCTCCAGCTTTGACTTTCAAATTCTCTCTAAGGTACTTGGAATTTTAGGAGATTTTAATTTGTTTTGTTCGAGGACGGCGCGGGATTATAGCTTTATCCGATTCTCGGAAATTTGGGAAATGTAAAAACTCTCTTCGGCTAGTCTGCTCCTACTATCTGTTTCTTATGTTCATTCTTCTCACGGTTTATGCATTCGTCATTTTTCCCAGGACGCATGTGGTGGGGAATCTTGCTTTCTGATCAGGAACCATCGTGCGTTCAGGAGACCGGGGGATCCTGAAATTTTGTAAGTAAAATGGATTCATACACATCATTCACCGCACACTGTTCCTTGTAAATTAAAATGGAGATTGAAGTGGATACTTATAACACGAACGCAACTTCCAATCTTTTCTAGAATCGCTGGTGTCACCGGAGTGGAGATTTTAGCTGGCTTGCATTGGTATCTAAAGCACTGGTGTGGTGCACACATATCATGGGATAAAACTGGTGGCTCACAGCTATTTTCTGTCCCTAAGCCTGGCTCATTACCTCTTATTCAAAGTGACGAAATTATTGTTCGGAGGCCTATTCCCTTAAACTATTATCAAAATGCAGTTACATCAAGCTGTAAGGTTTCTCTGAAATTGCATTAGAATACTTCGTGTTCCTCCAATGACAGTGATTTGGTTATTGTTTCTCTAAATATGTTTCTATTTTAATTTCCTCTGCTTTTCAAAGACTCTTTTGCCTGGTGGGACTGGGAGAGATGGGAGAAGGAAATAGATTGGATGGCTCTTCAGGGTATCAATATGCCTCTGGCATTTACTGGGCAGGAGGCTATCTGGCGGAAAGTATTTCAAGTATGTTTTCCTCTTCTTATCTGCATAATTTTTCCCCTACTGTTGTTCGACATAGCGATATTTTGAGTAGTACCATAGAAAATATAACTGTGAATGGCATTCTTTGTGCGGTAGAAGATGTTTAAGAAGTCAATTTATCCTACAAATGCTATAACCCCTGACTTGTCTTCGTATTTATGACGATTGGAACAAAATTATTGTTAAAAATATTGAGAAAGAGTACAATATCATTTCAAACTTCTTTTGTTCACTGATTTCTTCATCATGCTAGCGTAGCTTTCCTGTCTTTTCTGGCTTTATCTGAATTGTAGTTTACTTGTTTCCTACATTTTAATTTAATGTCATAAAGTGGCCAAAGCGAAGAAGTTGTCTCTAATAATTTTTTGAGGTTCTTATCTTATTGCAACTTACTTGCTTCAAAGTCTAGATTGATCTCACTCCAGACTATATTTGCAGAAATTTAATATAAGCAACTCAGATTTGGACGATTTCTTTGGAGGTCCAGCATTTCTTGCGTGGTCACGTATGGGAAATTTGCACAAGTGAGTAGTTGTTTTGTAACGGCATTGAAATCAAATCATACTGTCAGATGGTTGACTAAAATGAAAGATGGAATGATAATATAGAATCATCATCATAACTAGCTGCTCGAATATGCAGAGAGTGGCTTAAAAGTATCATGTTTATTAGCTCTACTATTAAAAATCTTCATATAATTTATTATAGTTTCCTTTCGAATATCAACATTCTGATAACAGATGGGGTGGGCCACTGCCGCAAAGTTGGTTTGATCAACAGCTTATTCTGCAGAAAAAAGTTACTGGCAGAATGTTTGAGCTTGGAATGACTCCAGGTATCGAATGTCAGTCAATAGATTGATTATGACATGTTCTTGCAATGCAAAAGAGTTCAAAATATTCAAACTTGATATTCTGTTCCATTAAATATTTTAACTTTGATATTGGCCTTTTCTTTTGGAATTGCTGTTTTAAAGCTTCAGTGCTGTTGCAGACTATTTTTTGTTTTTTACTATAGTTTGACTTCTAATTGCGTTGAAAAGAATCCACAACTTAGAAATCTCTTGTGCTGGGAATAATCTGAGGACCATGGTTTTCTTTTTCCTCCCTTTCAGTTCTCCCAGCCTTTTCAGGTAATATTCCTGCTGCTTTCAAACAAATATATCCATCAGCGAAGATAACACGCTTAGGAAATTGGTAACACCCCACCTCCTTATCTGATATCAAATTCATATTTGTTATGGTTAATACTGTTTCTTTACTCTTGCATCTCTTTGACATCTGCTTAGAATATATTCTGATACACTCTGAAACCAGAGTTAGTCAAGTCCATGATACCAAGGATGTTGTTTTAATTATTGACAATATCAATACGCTATGTCATACAATTGCTCTGCAGGTTTTCTGTTCACAGTGACCCTAGATGGTGCTGCACGTACCTCCTTGATGCCATGGACCCTTTATTTGTTGAAATCGGTAGAGCATTTATTGAGCAACAACTGAAAGGTATTTTGGACCTATGCTAGTGAACTGTATGAGAATATGATATTTCATGCCTTTTCGTTAAATGATACTTGACTGTTCTAATTGTGTCTGAAATTACCTTTTTTCGTCAGAATATGGAAGAACTTCCCATGTATACAATTGGTATGCTACTCTTTTCCTCTGATTCCTCGATGGTTAGCTTACTTACATTAGAATGAGAGAAAAGCAAACGAGAACAAACGTATAAAATTGGTGCAGTATTGGTTTGGAAAGTCTTTAAATTGCGTCTTTTCTTCATTTTTCAATCATCATTAGAATAGCTTTTCATCCTACAGTGATACCTTTGACGAGAACACTCCACCTGTGGATGATGTGGAATACATCTCTTCATTAGGTGCAGCTATTTTTGGAGGAATGCAGGCGGGAGATTCTAGTGCTGTCTGGCTTATGCAGGTGATTGTTGGTTTGTTTTTGCCATATAAGGGTTTTGTGTGCCAATTCATTAAGGTTCTCATATCACTAAACTAGTGTAACTTGATAATGAAATTTGTTCATATACAGGGTTGGATGTTTTCATATGATCCATTCTGGAGGCCTCAACAAATGAAGGTTACAAGAATTCTTTCATACCCTCCAATTTTCAATCATCATTAGATCATTGCCATATCAAGGCTCTACTTGGGGAATCCTTGGCTCAAATCCTTTGTTATTTATAAATGCTAATTCATTATATAATACTATACCTTCTTCTATCTATTCAATCTCAAGGCTTTCTTTCTCTCTTGGTTGACGTTGGTGACGTATTTTTCAGGCCCTTTTGCATTCTGTGTCTTTGGGAAGGCTGGTAGTCCTTGATTTGTATGCTGAAGTGAAACCGATCTGGATAGCTTCTGAGCAATTTTATGGAGTCCCTTACATCTGGAAAGTCCCTATTCCTTTCTTTTGCTGGATTTTAATGTTGAGGTCTAATAAACTGGAAGAAATTTTCCTTGATTAAGCATAAAGTTAGCTAATCTTTTTGCTATTTTTATGAATGTCTTACAAACTTTTGTTAAATTGTATCAGTTTACAATGTCTCAATAATTCTGCTGTCTTGTCCCAATGTCCTGGACCATATATAGTGCCTTTGGTGTCATCCATATATAGTGCCTTTGGTGTCATCTCAGGGTTCCAAGACTAAGTTGATTTAGTGTTTCTTTAGCTGTGTGCTATATTTCAATGATTGTATGATGCTCGAAAATTTAGCTATAATGATATCAATTGCCTGTTGCAGGTGCATGCTACATAATTTTGCTGGAAATGTTGAAATGTATGGCATTTTAGACTCAATAGCATCTGGACCAATTGAAGCTCGTAGTAGTCCATACTCGACAATGGTAAGTTTATTATCTACCATTATTTTGTATCTAGGTGTTATTATAATGTTTTGGCAGCATTATTTAATTGCGACAACTACACTAATTTTCATATTAACTCCAAATTTTTTAAAAATAAATATTGGGTGCCTTTTCTCTCTATCCACAAGTACTATATTTTGGATTTGGAGTACATGTATACATATATTTGTAACTCTGAAGAGATGAACTGATTCTCTTCCTTTCGTTTTTCATGGGAAGACTATTACGGTATTTAATATTTGATCATTAGATTATGAAAGCAATATAGCTGACATTGTTGAGGATTGTTGGGAGAAGAGTCCGCATTGGTGATTATGAGTTTATAAGTAAGGAATACATCTCCATTGGTATAAAGCCTTTTGGGAAACCAAAAGTAAAGTCATGAGAGCTTATGCTTAAAGTGGACAATATCATACCATTGTTGAAGTTCGTGATTCCTAATATCGCCTATTTCAATCTCCCTCTCACGTTCTCTTTTTCTAAACGTCCGTTAGGTGTATCATTTATTTGCAATGTTCAAATTCGTGTTCTTTTTTGTCACCTATGCTTTCATTTGAAGGTCGGGGTAGGAATGTCCATGGAAGGAATAGAACAGAATCCTGTTGTGTATGATCTCATGTCTGAAATGGCTTTTCAACACAACAAAGTTGATGTCAAGGTACATGTTTTGTGTATTATTCATGTTCCGCATTTGGAAAGCTGACAAATAACCTCGCATAGAATAATATGGTCCTTTCATTTCCAGAAATGGCTGTATCAATATTCAATAAGACGCTACGGTCATTTAGTCCCTTCAATACAAGATGCCTGGGATGTATTATATCACACCATCTACAACTGCACTGATGGTGCCTATGTAAGTACAAAAGAACTGTTGTCTGTGCTTACAGTTTCGTTGCTTTAGAATGGTCATTTCTTTTCTTTTCTTTCTGATGCGAATCTGTGAATCATATGTTCAAACATGCCATGCTAACACATCCTGGTCAACATGGAAAAGGACAAAAACAGGGACGTAATTGTGGCATTTCCTGATGTTGATCCATCCTCAATCTCAGTAATACCCGAGGGGTCGGACCGACATGACACAGGTAGTCTCCAGGATGCAATATTTGAACGACCTCATCTTTGGTATCCTACTTCTGAAGTAATTCGTGCATTAAAGCTTTTCATTGCCAGTGGTGATCAACTTTCTGGCAGTAACACTTACAGGTTGACCCACGAATTCAAAATATCCTATTATTAAAGTTTGGATCACTGAATATGCATTCGTTGTTACTCTTAGGTATGACCTTGTGGACTTGACTAGACAAGCTCTAGCCAAATACTCGAACGAACTGTTCTTTAGAATTGTCAAAGCATATCAGTTGGATGATGTGCAAACAACGGTGAGCTTAAGCCAGCAGTTCCTTGAACTTGTAAATGATATAGACACATTAGTGGCTTGTCATGAGGGATTTCTTCTAGGACCTTGGCTACAAAGCGCCAAGCAACTCGCCCAAGATGAACAGCAGGAAAAACAGGTTCAGTTTTGAGTCCACTCTACCAATTATGGGACAATTATATTAACTGACATTCGGTATCTGACGAATCTCAAATAACAGTATGAGTGGAACGCAAGAACTCAAATAACCATGTGGTTTGACAACACAGAGGAGGAAGCAAGTTTACTTCGTGATTATGGTAATGATCATTACTCAGTGTCGATATATAGTCACCGAGATGTTGAATTGTATTGTATTTGTACATTCAAATTCAGGAAACAAGTACTGGAGTGGTCTGTTGAGCGATTACTACGGTCCTCGAGCTGCAATATACTTCAAGTTCTTGAAAGAAAGCTTAGAGAATGGGTATGCATTTCCATTGAGTAATTGGAGGAGAGAGTGGATAAAGCTTACAAATGACTGGCAAAGCAGCAGAAAGGTTTACCCTGTGAAAAGCAATGGTGATGCTGTGGACACATCCCGGTGGCTTTACAACAAATACTTTCAAGTACTTGAAAGTTACGATCAATGAATCAGGCAAGATATATCTAACTAAGATTTAAATGCTGCATAATGTTTCTCTCGTAGTTTCTGTGTGTTACCAGTTCCCCCGTGTTCAAATTCTTATTATTTTGCAGGTCAGCCCACGGATATGTTCTATACCGGATCTCTTATAAGATCAATTCGGATTAACTCTAGTTCAATAAATTGATATCGACTCTTCAGAATTTGGTAACTTGAACTCCATTAACAATTACGTTTAAATCTTTTTTTTGGATTACACTCATTATCTACAGTTTTTGAATCTTTTTCTCTTCTTTAAAAAAAAATGTAAACAATAAAAATAAAAGAAGAGTAAAAAAGAAAATTCAGTTCATTAAAACATGAAATAACCACAATTACAAAAAGATCTTTTCCTCTTCCTCTCACTCTCTTCCATTAATAAACTCTCTACAATGTTCTTCTCCAAATCAATCTTACGAAAAAAAACAAAGAAAAAAATCCCCTTTTTAAAAGAATGACTTATTTATGAAAAGCCAAAATGGGCTAATGGTTGATTGAATTGAACGCATCGCATCTTGTCCTCACGTCTCCTTTCCCGCCAGTTTTCACCTCTCGAACGCTCATCTTCTCCATCGCGTGTCCGAAATCCTTGAAGAATAATGCCTCATTTCCTGCATACATCTCCACGAATTTCCTTGTCCTCGGATCCTTCACCAGCGCCTGATCCGACGCCAACAGTCCCATTCCTCTCAGCAGATTCTTGTAGTATACGTTGTCGAACTTCCCTGGCGTTACAGGGTCGCTGTACGCCGAATTCGCTGGATTCTTCTCGTAATCGGCGCAGGACTTCTTCAACGCCTCCGCGTATTTCGAATTAATCTCAGGATCTGTTGGTGTGTTTTTGCTGAAATTGAAGAGCCGGTCGCTGAATTCCTTGCAATTTGAGAATCCGATCGTGCGTCCGCCATATAGCGCTACCATTTCTTGAATCGTGAAGCCTTTCGCTGTGTATAGCTTGATCAACTCGTCGATTGATTGATTCGGTTTCGGAATGTTGCCTTCTACGTCTGAAACTTTCGAGACGAGGCTATCTTTTCGCCCTAATTCAACTTTGTACGATGGTCCGCCTGTAGCCGCGATGAGATCTCTAGTCGCTTGCGCTAACACGTCGGAGCAAGAGACAATCCCAGGGCAGGAGAGCTCTAAGGTGATCTTCGCTCGAGTGACGACGTCGAAGGCGTCACCAGGAAGATCGCGGTTGATTTCAGCATCGCGCTCGGCGTGGTTGAAGACATTGGATGAAACAAGAACAGAGCCATCGCAGCCTCCAACCAAACAATCGCTGAACAAAAGGCGCATAGATGCAGCGGCGGTGACAGGGCTAGTAGCGTGCTTGCGAGCAACAGTGTCATGAACGATCTGTGCAAAATCGGGGCAAGTTTTCTGGTAATAATCGAGAGAGAGCTGAGATTGAACTGAGAATGGAAGAGATAGAAAAAGTAGAAGAAGAAGAGCGGGAGAGTGAAAGAAGGCCATGGCGGAAGAGGAAGGAGGTGGGGGAAAACCTGCTTCCTCTGGATGTGGAAAAGTGGAAGGGGTGTGTGTAGTGTAGTGTGGTGAGGAGGAAGAAGGAAGCAATTGCGTGTGAGGAAAATGGAGTGGATGAATGGGGGTTAAAAAGAAGATGGAGTAGTGGATGGGAGAGATTTTGGGAGATTTGTTAGGGAGGAGGCTGCTAATGACCTCCAAATTCTTGCCATGGATGACTGAATCAAACCCATTGCAAGGTACTGTTGTGTTAAGTGGCAGGTGGGTGGATGGGAGAGGTTCTATGGAATGAATTTGTTAGAAGATTTAATGCTATTTTTGGTAATGCAGAATGCTGAAGTTAGATATGAAGATGGAGAAATTTTCAGTATAATCAGGTACTTTCTAGTGATCCTTGCGCCAGATGAAAGAAAGAGAAAAAGACGCAATGAGTGCAGTAAACCAAGAAGATTCATATTGATTTCTTCTCCCGCCCCATTCTTTATCCAAGAAATGTTGTTAAAATTCACCGCATAATCACCCAAATACTTAAACGCAAATTTTTCTATGAAAAAGACGCTGATGCAGTAACAACATTCATCTAATCTCTCAAAATTTATGAATCTTCAAGCGACAAAGACAGAGGATTCAGTGAAAATTTGGTTTGTCTGAAGTGGGGCAACGCCAATTTTACAATCCTTGAAGATGGGCAGATCGATATCAGTCGGTGAGGTGAGAGTATCTATTCATCTCTCTTTCTCTATAATCTGGGCATTGTTCTTGTTTTCCTTGGTTTGTTCTCAATTTAGAGATCAATATCTTTTCGGGATCTGGGTTTGCTTCGATTAGCGATGGGAAGCGCAGAGGAGAAAGTTGTTGCCGTGATCATGGTCGGCGGTCCCACTAAAGGTACGGGAATTTCTTACTCCTTCTCAAATCGTTTTTGGGTGGAAGTTCATCTGAATTCATTTTGATGAAGTTAGAGATGTATCTAGAATTATAGTTATAATACAAAGTTTTGATGGAACAGGAGCTTGACTAAAGACTATGTAAGATTGGATCAAGACATCCTATCACCTTTTGCAGGGAAGAAACAGTTATATATACGTACGAAACTACGGACTACTGGGAACAGATCAAACGCCTGCATAAGTTGTATTCGAAACACGCATTCATTTTCATCGGTTCGATAACCAAGTCTTTGTGTGTGAATCCTTGCAGAATGTCCTTGAAATGCTCTGGCTTATACCCGACCCATTGGCGAGTGGAGATGGTACGAAAGACGCTATCATCACACTGGTGATGTTTATATGCATCCTTCAGCTAAACTACATCCAACTGCTAAGGTATTATTATGTTTATTGATTATGCTGATTTTAGAAATATGGGCGGGTGTTATTATGTAAAAATTAATAGATAAAAAAAAAAAAAAGAAATTACATTTTTAACTTTTAGGAATGGAAAACAGCAAGCAATTTGAAAAGACATCCAATAATTGATTTATGGTATATGCCGAAGACGAAGACTCCAGAGTCAAAAGAGCGAGTCTCGTCAAGCTGCAGCAGCAGAGGAGGATAGCAGGAGGAGGCGAGACCATCATCGGAGCAGAGGAAAATGGTTCACGCCAGGCTTGAAGACGCCACCGGTTTTAAGGCGGAGCTGATCGGAAGCGCCTGGACGGCCGCCGTTAAAGCTCACAAGTATGCAGAGAAGCCATTTCTCCTTGAAACTAGCAGCAGAGACTTTTCCATCATCAGTTTCCCCGGATCTTGGTCTGCGGAAGGCTGGTTCTCCGGTTCCGATTCCGATTCCGATTCATGTTTTGGAGAAACGAAGATCAACACCCAACTGTTTCCGTCTATCAGGAGCATCGGCGTTAACGATTATGCGCTCGTCAACTCCGCGTTTCTCCACAGATTTGAAGCTATCTTAGGGAAGCTGATCAAGGAGGTACACTTTGCCCTAAATTTTCCACCTATTTCCTCGAATTTCGCTTCCTTAAAGTTCTTTGGATTCAGAGAATTTCCATTTATTCAATCCTTATCGACTTTTGTAATCATATAAATCAATGATGGAGCAATAGTGAAAGATGATAGAATAAAATAATAATAATAACTGATCGTAGAATAAATTAATAATAATAATAACCTTTTGCCTTCCCAAGATTTAATAATAAGTTCGGATTTTATATAATTTTAATTTTGTTTCTATCTATGATTTAACCTATTCATTTATATATTCAATCTTTTAAAATTTATATATATCTTATTACTCTAAAATTTAAATTTGTTTCTATTTTAATAAATAACGAATAGATCTAAAATTTAAAAATATATTTGACATAAAATCAAAAAAAAAAAAAAACATTTTTTTTTAGAGTTTAAAATTTAAATGCGATGCAAATGATCAAATCTCGGACCCTTAACTGCTTCTTTTGACTATTGGTAATGGGATTTTGTTTGTCAGGTCATGCGAGTGAGTAAGGCAGTGGTGTTTACTGGCCACTCTGCAGGCGGTCCGATAGCCATTCTTGCAACCATTTGGCTATTGGAAGAGCAAAGAAAGAACTCAAACTCAAACACAGTCACCAACTCCTCCACTCCTCCAAAATGCATCACATTTGGATCTCCCCTTGTTGGTAATTTCATTCTCTCCCATGCTCTCAAGAGGGAGAAATGGTCTATCCATTTCATACACTTCATCATGAGATACGACATTGTCCCACGAATCCATCTCGCTCCCCTACCTTCCTTGCAACCAGTACAACTGCAAACCATCCTCAACTCCTTGAACTCGAGATCTCTTGAATCGTCGTCAAATGGGGATGTAACTACTGCATTCTTCAGTACAGTGATGAGCAATGCATCGAGTGTGGCAAACAATGCAGCCTGCCATCTTATGGAAAGCACTAGTCTTTTGCTAGAAAACTTGAGAAGCTTTATCAAATTGAGTCCTTATAGCCCTTTTGGGACTTACATTTTCTGTACCGAGAGTGATGAGGTGGTGGTGCTGACCAACCCGCATGCTGTTTTACAAATATTATTCTACTCCTGTCAGTTGAACTCTGACAGCGAACGGGGTCAGGTAGCTCATCAGAGTTTAAAGGACCATTGGGAGTATGAATCTAAAATGCACCAAAACTTGGAGCTCCTGCATGCTATTCGTCTGGATGAATTGCACAAGCTTCCTCTGTCTTTGACTGGAAGGAGCACGCCAATCACACAAGCCTTGAATCGACTCGGCCTAGTAAGTTTTTTTAATCTTCTACCTCTCTCTCTCGACTTAGAGCATCAACGTACCCGATAAAGTTGTTACTTGCCATCCATGGACCTACCTTGGATTCTAATTTTCATGAATGTGAAATTACAGAGTACGAGGGCTTTATTGAATCTTCGTGCAGCTGGCACATACGAAGAGAAAAAGACGAAAAACCAAGAAAGGATGGAAGCAAAGAAGCAATATATCGAGAAAGGATTGAATTCGCTAGAAGAAAACTACAGAGCTGTATGTAGGGTTGATGGTATGGGATATTATGATGCATTCAAACGCCAAAAGAATGACACAGACTTCAAAGCCAATATCAAAAGGCTTGAGCTAGCAGGTATATGGGATGAGATCCTAGGAATGCTCAAAATGTATGAGCTCCCAGATGAATTTGAAGGCAATGACGAATGGATACAACTTGGAACCAAGTATCGCCGTCTCGTTGAGCCTTTAGATATTGCTAATTACTACAGGCACTCTAAGAATGATGACACTGGTCCTTATCTGAAAATGGGAAGGCCGAACCGTTACAGATTTACACAAAGATGGCTCGAACATAATCAAAAGATGACAGAATACAGTGAAGAATCGATTCTTTGGGCAATGGTGGAGGAGCTTCAAATCCAAACCAGAACCAGAATGTATGTAGAGCATTCAAGAGAAATCATAGAGCTGGAGAAGAAGATGAAGAGATGGGTCAATGAGATTGGAGAGGATATGTTGTTAAAGAAATCTACGTTCATGGAGTGGTGGAAGACACTTCCTGAACAACACAGATCACAGTCTTGTCTTAAGGATGATATTCAGAGGATGGAGAAAAGAGACGATGCTATGAACTGGGAGTAGTCTGATCTTACTAAGTACTTAAATTCTTGGAGACAAATGTCGGTTAGTCTTCTAGAACTCAGATAGTTTATTCTTCAGAATCCACTTTCAATTCTTTCGCAGCACTTGTTATAGTTTAACTAAAACGACCACCCATCAACAATCAATATCTTCTTAATAACTTGCACCAGCTAAGTCAATATCAACAGCAAATGAATACCCAGTATAGAAGTGGGGCTCATACCTACATTCCATGGGATTATCCTTCATAATTACCTCTATGCGACAGAGAGCCCAATATACATAGAGAATTGTAGATAAGTTGAGATCAGCACCCTTGTTCTCGTTCAAAAGAATTAGAAAAGCCATAGCTGCAGTTATTCAGCAAACACATTATTCAATCCATCGTAAGCAAAACAGATAATGGGACCTCAATCAAAGGCAGATCTCTACCCAATGCCCTAATGAATACATGATATACAAGCTTACATAGTGAAATTTATTTCTGTGGAAAAATCAACCAATTACAGAATCTATCTTCCAGCAACTATGTCCCGCCACTGCCAGTATAGAACAGACGCTAAGACCCTTTATATTCAGTAAAACACAACCACAAGCTTAGTATTAGAGAAATAAAATGGGTCATTCATCAAGAAGCTTCAAAGTGGCATTTCAATCCATCGAAGGCAAACTGTCATCTGCATCACTGTCTTTCAAGTTTAGCTCATAATTTCTTGAAGACATAAATTTTTGAAGAAATGTTCTTTTTTCATTTTGAAATGAATGAAAAAGGGGGACCCACTTTTATTAAGAAGAATCAACATACATAAAAAAGAACGCTGTCAAAATAGAACAGGTTAGAACCAAAAAGTTACAATTAAGGGTCCCAATCATTAAACATCAACAGTAAGAGTAGTTTCTGAAGAAAAAAAAAAAAGTGAACTATAACCCAATGAAGATATGTTAAAGTGCATCAAACCAAAGATTCTTCTATAACAATCCACGTTCAGTGTTCACTCCTCAGATCCTAAAACAGTCATTAAAACAATAGTAAACCAACATGTCTAAACTCTAAAGCAAAACAAGTTAAGCTTTTACCTTTGACTGATCTCAGACATTCAACTGCTGGTGCTGGCTATGTACATCAAAAGCATTGAACAATTAGTTGTGTGACATAGAAGTTATTACAAATATTTCCACATTTCATTTTAGCGTGTATATACGCCTGGGAGTCTTGCCACATGCTACAAAACCATATATGAGTAGTCAATCACGACACTAAGTATCATAAAACCAGCAAGAATAAGGAGGAAAGTACTAACTAGAACAGTTTCAGGCATTCTATGAAATATATGCAAATACAAATAAATAAGATGCGGACAAAAATAAATGTTGTATCATTATTCCATGTATTCATTTCTATACCACCTCATCTATTCACATATCAAGTACGAAATAAGTCCTCTACATTGGCAAATGTATCATAAGATAAGAACCACACTCATGTACGAAGCAAATCAGTTTAAAGGTTCTCAATCTCATAACCATACTTCAACACCCAAATGCCACATCTATTGCTATGAAAAGCAGAGCAGACCACCATAATACCCAAGAGACATACAACAAAAAAAAAAAAAAAAAAGGTGAGACCAGATGAACATAAACTCACAGAAACTGGACACTAGCTAAGACCTTGAAATCATGCTATAAGAACGTGCCAACAGGAACGTTGGGCTACCACCATCTACATTTGTTTCATTGTCAACATGTTCACGATCATATGGCTTCCTGCAACCAGGACAGCGCCCATCCTCTTCAAG